ATTTTAATAATAAAAAATAAAAATATTTTAAAAAATACACTTTTTTGTTTTTAAATATGTCCTTATTAGTCATTTGATGTTAAACAACAACCGCTAATTATTGTATAACCAAATAGTTATATTTATCGAATCCGCTATTTACCATCCGCTACCCACTTTCCGCTATCCGCCATCCGCCATCCGCTATCCGCTAACCGCCACCCACCACCCGCTACAGCTATCTGCTATCCGCTATCTGCTACCCGTTACCCACTACCCGCTACCCACTATCCGCTGAATTTTAATCGCTGTACCAAACAGGCCCTAAATCCAAATAATTAATCAACTCTAAAAGCTCAATTCCTTAAAAACTCAAACTTTTAAAATTCAATTACTCAATAACTCATAAATAATTTAGTAGTAATATATTTTCAATAAAAGTAAACAATCTTAAGTTTGAGTTACATTGTATGTAAGTGGAGTGGATTATGGATGTGAGTATTGTTTTTTATTGTGTAATCTAAGATAAAAAAAAGTTATATTAAACCCAAATAATTAATTAATCTAAATATCCTACTTTTATTTTATTTTATTATCAACTCTAATGTTGATAAAAATTTTATCAGCTTTGGTTACCGATTTATGAATATGGTAGTTTCAATGCATGTATTAAAGCAAAAGGATAGCTGGCACAATAGAAGAATAATTGTCTCCTTAACAAACGCCTTGATGGAGGATATTATTCATAGAATCTATTGTTTTACAATTCGAACAATTCTAAACTGTAAAATAAAAATGAGGAGAACTCCTCAAAAGATCAGTATTTTATAATCTAAAATAATCTAGATCATAAAATATTTTTTTTATTTATATATAGAAAATCTCTTCTTTCTCTAGGCCAATAATATTATGTTAACAATATAATTTAAATCACACAATATGTTACAGGTGGCCATGTACTTATTTTTATTTAGTGTAAAAAAAATTATGTATTATTAAAAATTATGTATTCTTCAATAATAATAATAATATTATTATTTAGGGAAGTCGTTCTTGGACAACTCATATGGCTCGGTACCAAATTCTCTTTCAGCTAAAACCAACGTTGAACCCTTCATCTTACAAAATTAGTAGGTTTTAGTCCCTAATTTTATAATATAATACTTTTAACCTTTTACCTTACAAAATTGATAGGTTTTAACCCTTCACTTTACAAAATTGATAGGTTTTAGCCCCTCACCTTATATTATAACACTTTTAACCCCTTATCTATATGAATTGAAGAAAATAGCCCTTATTTAACATTAGATTATAATGTTTTATTAGTTCAGTTAGCTAACTGTTAGTTCTGTTAATTGATTGTTAGCATCTGTTAGCATTCCGTTAATGGAACTAACAAATAAAATTGAATTTAAATTTCATTTTTTTATAACAGAATACTAACAGATGTTAACAGTTAACTAATAGAACTAACGAAATGTTATAATCTTATATTAGGTGAGGGTTATTTTCTTTAATTCATATCAGTGAGAGGGTAAAAATATCATAATATAAGATAAGAGTTAAAACCCACCAACTTTATAAGGTGAGGGACTAAAACTTACCAATTTTGTAAGATAAAAAGCTAAAACTATCATATTATAAAGTAAGAGACTAAAACTTACCAACTTTATAAGGTGAGGGGCTAAATGTTGGTTTCTGCCATTCTTCTTCCAAGTGTTTAGTGGACTAAACTCCTTACTCTAAATTTGTTCCCAAAAATCTTGAAAGAAGAGTTTCTAAGGGAACCCAGGGGTTTCGTCCGAGTAAACCCCTACAAGAAGAATCTGGGACCAAGCAAAGCCACATGAGCTATTCTGGCCCAAACCAAATAAAACCCAAATTAACCGTGTTTGGTTTATAAATCAGTATCGTTGTGTTTGGTTTGATAAAAATCTATCGATTTTAATTCAATGATTCGAATTCCACACCCTTGTATTTGATTAGATAAAAAATTTTTGAAATTCATTTGCAATTCTTCACCTTTTATGCATGGTTGGTTTGATTAAAAAGTATGAAATCTAATTCTAAACTTTCAAATTTTGCAATTGAAAATGAACTCCACTACCCACACTTTTGTATAAAACACTCATTTAGGTTACTAAAATGCCCCTCAAATTCGAACTCCTTCAACCATCCTCCCCAAACAGCGATGACATTTTAGTAAAAGTTTAATATTTAAACTCAATTCTATATTTTTTCCAAGTTCCGAGCATAAAATCTTGTGAAATTCATTTGAAGTTTATAATTTTTTTAGTAACTCCCAACATTTACAAATGAACTCTTTTCTTTAAAATGAAATGAATCCATTTTCATTTAAACTAAACATACTCAAAATTTTTTAAAACATGACAATTTACTTACAAATAAATTCACTAAAAAATTAATCTATAAGTGAAATGAATTCAAATTCTTAAGGCAAAGCAAATTTTCTAATATATTTCGTACCTCAAGTTGAAAAATAATTACAATCCATTATTGAATACCTGCAATAAAAAATTCATTCTAATATAGTAAAAAATTACCTCCGTAAAGTCTTCAGGTTTCTGTCTAATCTCCCATGATTGCATCCCTACTGACTGTTTTTTTCATAAGATCGCTTTTATTCTCCTACTTGTCGTTGTTGATACGATTTTAAGAGCTGATCCAATTCCAATTTCTGTTGGTAGTATTTGGATTGCTATACATGACATAAAAACAAGAAAATACTTATCAATATTCTGATTTTTTATTTATGATTAATTCTCGCAACTAACCACCGCATGAAAACTTTTCAAGGAATGCAATTTGTGACAGAGGACAATTACTGAACTTTTAAATATTAAGACTCGTAGAAGATTCAACAAAAATGAATGTTCTCTCAGTTAATACAATAAGAAGACTCATGCATTCGGTTAGACGCCCAACAGACTCAGCATTTACCAATATATAAATAGTTTGAAAGTCACGTAGATGGCATGTTGACATACTAAATAATAAAAATTAAATAAAAAAATAGTATAGTATCAAGACCATAAACAATGTAAAATCAAGAAAAACACTACCAGAAATAAAGATACAAATTTTCTGTATATTTTTGTATTTCAGTTTAAAAAGTAATTATAATTCATTAATTGTTTCATCTCCATGGTGTGAATCTCATACCACTGCTTCATCATCTTCATTATCTTCACCCCAAATCTTCAATGAAAAAATGTGTATTTGATTATTATGTACATAAAAATTAATTATAAATAATTAAGATGGATCCTTTTATGATTTGGAAATCTTCTAATAATAAAATTATAAAAAATATCAAATCTTTAAAATCAACTAATTATTAAATTGATTAAAATCTCCAGTTTATAGTGGAATATATATTTGATTTGTGTTGTTGCTCTCAACTATCATGTCTCTTAATTGACGAAAGATATAAAATTAATGGTGGAATTTGTAAGAAAGAAGAGAAGTTGAGCTTTGAGAAATTAAATATACCTCCATCAGCGACCTCCGAGTGCGTGACCAGTGAGACGACTCCGGAAAACCATCAATTTGAAGAAAGGACAATTCGGAGGGGCGTTGCTTGGTTTCTGTAGAATTAGGCAGATATTTCAGATTCTTGCAGCACTGAATGGTCAGACATTGAAGAGATGACAAGCTTCCCAACCACTCTGGCAAAGCTTCCACTTGATTGAAATTAAATATAACCAAATCCCTAAGAGAAGTGAGGTGTTGAATTTGAGGAGGTAGACACTTTAGTGTTTCCCAACCAATCAACTTCAAATTTCGAAGGGAGGCGTTGAGGCGTTGGATGGAACTGAGACCTGGGAATTCCTCTATCTCTTTTGAGAAACCACCTATTTTTAATGTCCGTAAGCTAACAAGATCGCCAAGGCTCTCCTCTGGGATACACCTCAAATTGTGCCAATTTAAAATATTTAACTTAATAAGAGAATGCAAATTAGTTGGCAGAGACACGGACACCAATCCATCACATTCCTGAATTGTTAATTTTTTAAGAGAGGAAAGCCCATCTATACCTGGAATGTTTCTTAGATTTCCACATCCAATTACCTTCAATTCTTCCAGGCATGTGAGACTAGAAGGACCATGCACTATAGTTTGCAATCTTGGGCAGCATGTTACTGTTAGTCTTCTAAGGGACGTTGGCAAGCCAGACACATCATCCCGCATGCTAGTCACTTTAAGGCACAATATAATATTTAGCTCCTGAAGAGCAGAAAACCCCCTCATGGATGGAATGCTTTTTAACATTCTACAATAGTTTATTTCCAGCGAAAGAAGTCCACTCAAAGGACAATCCATCCATGTCGGACATTTTTCACCCCTATAATTATCAATCTCTAAGTGTTGCACCCTTGAGGGAGGTTGGAGTCCTTCTAATACATCTTCATCTTGCTTGCATTCTCTGTAACTCTCTCTCCACATGGGCCTTTCCCAGTTCAATACCAACTTATGAAGTCTCGTCTTCTCACATAGTTTTGCTTTCTTGGCTTCTATGTAGTTTTCAACAAGCTCCAGATGGCGTATATTTAAGCTACCTCTAAGTTGGTTTAACCTTCTCAGGTCTTCAATTTGACTTCCCTTTTGCCGACCAACAAAAAAAAATGGCAAAGTTTGAAGATCTGCTAGTCTACCGATTCCTACAGGCGCACCATTTTCATGAGAGAAATAAATATGTTTTAAGTTTACTAAATTTTCCACTTGTGGCTGCCTTTCAATTAAATAACAATGCTCAAATCTCAGTGTTTGCAAATGATACAACTTCATAATAAACTGAGGTAGCTCTTTGATTCCAGCAGTTGAAATGTCCAGATATCTTAAATGCTTCATCTCGCCAATCCAAGTTGGCAATTGCTCAATACGGTGCCGATCAAAATTGTATTGACCAGAAACAACAAGAATCCGTAACCTTTTGAAGCACTCTGGCAACTTGCACAACATACCCTTCTTTAAAAATAACGCATGTAGTTTCCCAGCCACCTCTGCAAAATTTGTTGGCACAGTTTCCATGTCATCAACAAGATTAAGATTCAGATGTCGAACATGAGCAATCTTGCCCCTAGAAGCAGCCTTCAACATAAGTGTTTCAGAGTTGGAATTGGACATGGCTAGATCATGAATTAAATCATGCATTTTGCAATGTGTAATCTTGCCATATGAGTCTCTTTCTTCTGTTTGAAACAAGGAATATGATAACAAGTCATAAAGTACTTGTCACCTATATCCTCCAATATGGCCACAGAGCTTCCTTCTGATGGTTGAAGTAAACCTCCGGCCATCCAAAGTTGAACTAAACTGTCCCTTTCATAAACATAATCCTTGGGGAAAATGGAACAACAGGCAAAACAATTCTTCAAAGCTGGGTCAGGCAAGCGATCAAAACTTGATTGTAAAACCCCTAGAATCCCTCTCCCAGTACTATCATCTTTTAGTGAATCCCATGCATCAGAATTTTGAACTGACAACCACTCATGCCTATCTATTCGAGTGCTCAAACTCGCCCCAATAATATTGGCAACTAATGGTACACCCCTACACTTCTTAGCAATCTGCCTCCCAATCTCCTCTAACTCCGGATCGAGCACTGAAGAATCTCCAAAGACCCTCTGCTTTATTATAGACCAGCACTCATCATGTTTTAGTCCTTTGAGATGGTAGACATGTCCATCACGTGTTCCCATCGTTGATGCTACTCTTCTACTTCGTGTTGTCACAACAACCCTACTCACTTTATTTTTATTTATTTCTGACAAACAACCGCTCAACTCTTCCCACTTCACCGACTCATTCTCATTCCACACATCATCTAAGATAAGAAGATAATTTTTGTTCTCCAGTTTTTCTTTTATTTTTTCCATTATAGCACTCTCACTTCTAATTGAACAACTCTCTTTGCTAAGACACTCCAACATATCTTCTAGGATTCTTTTAACATTAAAATCTTCGGACACACAAATTGACACTATTTTGCCAAAATGTTCCCTTATTGTCTCATCTTTTTCTACTGATTTCACTAAAGTAGTCTTACCTAAGCCCCCCATTCCCACAACAGATATGACAGACAGGGACTGTTTATTGCTTGGATCAATCAACAAGTCAACTAAGTTTGAGACATCATCCTCCCTCCCCATAACTTGTGAACAGTAACCAAGAAAAGGGTGAGCCGTTTGAGGATTGCTCCTAGATTCAGGAGCTGAGACAGCAAATCTAGATTCAAGATTATACTGCCTAGCCTCCTTGTTAATGTCATCTATGGATGTAATAAGATTCTTGATCTTATTGGCCATCCTCAGACGGAATATGAAGGGATTGGAACGAGTGAAGAAGACACGGACCTTTTTCTTCCTTTGACCCCGAATCTCTACCTTGCGCTTAAGTTCTTCATAAACAAGCTCGTCTAGAACATCCTCGGCCTCACGAGCCACCATTTTGAGCTTCTCGAGCCAGCGCCTCACAGCCCGGTTTCCGTGTTGCTTCTCCTCCGCACCAAACAGCACATCATGAATCAGATCCAATTTGTCTTGAAGTGTTTTGAGGTCCTTCTTCCCACGGCCGCCTGCAAGTTTGATTAGCTCAGAAGCAGCCGAAGTCACCTGGGATAAGGTGGCTTCGATGAGAAAGGTCAAGACAACGTCAGCCATCTTCAATTCAATAGCTTTGGAGAAGGTATGGAAATGCTTAGAGAGACTACAGCAATGTGGTGAATATTGTGGTAGGTTAGATCAAAGCAATTATTATATATCTGTGCGATGCCGTTGGAGAAACATACAGTCATACTAAATATTGAGTAATGTTTAAATTTCCTCTTTTTTTTATTATTTTTTTATTTTTTACAAATCAACTTGTCTTTCTTTTTTTTTTTTTTTCCTAAAATCTTCAAAATTCCAAAATAGCTATTCTGGTTTTTAATGGTTGGTACATCTCCAAAAAAATAAATTAATAAAAA